TATTTAATGCTTTTAATTTCCTGCAAGTAATTAGTTTCCTTAGTTTTAATCAATCATTTTGCCAATTTCTCTTTCGTTAACTCAAATATACATTAGGTTGTTAGTCTTGCTCTCTGTGGATTTGACCCTGCTTACTGGTAACTACGGTACTTAGGTTTAATTTTGTGACCGTGACGACCGGTCTAACATTACATCATCCCTTAAACATTTACCATAAAAGATTAGCAATAATAAAATTGATAATTAATATGTTTGGTTGTCCCATGTAATTAAATTTTCTTGGATCATAGCAATATTAATTAAGAAATAGAGTGTGTGTTAAGGAAGCTTCATAATTAATTAAACAAGCCAATATAATAAAAGAAAAGAAAATAACGAGTTTTAAATTACAAGATCTTGTATTCAAAAGCCCCAACATCCCGGCCTTCAATTGTTTCGTTGACCATCATCCCAAATTCTAGGATTTTGGGTGAATAGGGAAATTATTAACCTAGCCTGGTGAAAGTCCCGGGTCCCTGTTCAATCAGGTCGGGTTTTAAAACACTGATTTTGGTCATGACAATTTCAATCAAATAATGGAATAACATGAATGGGCAACAATTTTTCTTACTCTACTTTTTAATAACTTAACTCCTATGCATTTCATATAATCATATATTGAAATTTTGGTCATATTATTCACTAATCAACTTTCATAATTTTGGTCATATTATTGGAGTCTGTTTGAGGAAAATATGTCTTGACAAATTAAACAAAAAAATATCAGATCTTGCAAATTTGTCGTTTAAATTACGAAAACGTTAATAATCAAGTCTTTTATTAAAAGACAAAGAAAGAAAGGGAACGATATGTTAATATATATCTTGTATGGACAAAAGCATAAATCTATTTTCAACCCTACGTAATTGAAGGGTTTTTAAATGTTGAAATGTGAATATGTATGGATAAATTGAACAAAGAAAGATCAAATGTCTTTCAATTCGCGCTATTAGTTGAAAGCTCATAAAGATTTCAAGACTACACAAAATGGTTAGGTTTGAGATTTTGATTTTGTATTTATGATTAAACAAAAATAGAAATCATATATAACCTTACTGCATCATTATATTCAAGTAAATAATGGAATTTGACAACCACTTAATCTTTATTGTTTAAATTGTGAAAATGTTAGTTTTCATGTCTTTTATTTGAAAACAAATGAGGAGAATGATATGTCAATATATATATCTCCTATTGACAGAAAAATAAATATTATCTTAAACTACATATTTGAAGGGCTTCTAAATGTTGAAATGTCAACATACATCTCAACAAACTAGATAAAGAAAGACCATGAACCTTGAGGTGATGGATTCTTTATGGCTCACTCGCCAATTTCCTTCTTTTGGTCACGGAAATCTCAATCAAATAATGAAATAAATAGAATGGCTAATAGCTTTTCATGCTTTAATTCCTTCTATTTATTCCATTATTTGATTGAGATTTTCGTTACCAAAAGAAGAAAATTGGCGAGGACCCATAAGTTCATGTAAGGAAATTGACATTTTTGTAAGTTTATGGATCGGTTCCCCAAGTATGAAATTTGTATTAAGTTTCAAGAGTCATAATGTTTTAATCAGTATTCATGAAATAGATGTTTATGAGTCATGATAATTGGTTTTCCACAACTTGGTCCTACAACAATAAAAAGCCATTTAAAAATTAAAATTCTTTATTAAAAAATCTTTTGTACATGTAAATAAAAAACATTGGATTTATTATAAAATAAAGTAAGAGAAGAGAGAAGATGATTAAGAGGAAATAGAACCAATGCTTTTTTATTTCAAAGTTAGTGCCTTTTGTAATAATCTCCTGTATATTGTCCTTTTCTACCCTATTGATCAAAGAATCTTTTTATGACAAATATATTAATTTGTTTCCCACATCGATCAAAGGAAATCATAAATTTATTTGAAAAATATTTGATCTCTTTGTTATCGCATTCATTAGTCATTACCATCGTTACTTTAATCTCAATTTTCCATACACTAATCTATTTTATTAAAGCCTATCCCCTCTAAAGAAAAAGAGGATTAATTTCTATACGGTAATCTTTTTTGTCAAAGTCTGGTTCCTTTAAAGAAAAAGAGGACTAATTTCTACATGTTAATTTTTTTTCAAACTCTGTTCCCTTTAAAGAAAAAGAAGACTAATTTCTACACGTTAATCTTTTTGGTCAAAGTCTCTCCTCTCCTCCCCCCCCCCCCCCCCCCCCCCCCCCAAAAAAAAGAAAAAAAGAAAAAAAGAAAAAGAGGAATAGTAAGAAACTCTTGTTGTCACCACTCACCAATGCTGCAAGACTTAGACCCAGCTTTGGCCCCACCATTTTCTTAAGAATTCATGGGTGAAAGATTCTTGCGACTATTGGTTTGATAATTAACGACTGATATATATATATATATATTGCCATTAGTTTGATAATTAACGACTGATTGATATATATAGGGAGAGAGAGAGAAAGAGAGAGAGAGAGCAAATTAGTAGTCCTAAAGCAAGGATATGAAAGATTAATTAAGATTATTAATACATGAAATAATCAATTTATCTTATTTTAGTTATTAAAACTATGTAATTCAAGATATATATTACTCATATATATACATATGATGCATAATATGGTTTTATATTTGTTAAATTGTTAAACAATTGAAATTTATTATACCATTTATATTAAAAAACTTATTATATCTATAATTTAAAAAAAAAAATTAATTAACATATAGAGTATGGTTGAAACAAAAAATTCATATACTAATTTTATTTTGCATTAACTCTATAATATAACTTAATAAATTATGCATCATCATTATAACTAATTGAATTCATTTCCAAATTTGTATATGACCGAAAAATAAAATCTATGAATTTATTAATAATATAATCATATTGTGTAACTATAAAATGTATGACTACTTAATTAAATCAAATCAATCACATAGTTTCTTACAAATTTTCAACAATTCAAAAGACCAAACGGGAAATATTATTCTTCTATTATGATCTATTAGGAAACTATTATTTTCATACAATTGATATTTTTTTATCTAAAAGTTGTGATATTTTATCTTTTCATTTTCTAAAAATATAAAAATCTTGCAAAATTTTACATACAAAGTGATATCTCAAAAAATAAATGGAAGAGTGAATATAAACAGTCAAACTTATTATATTCAAGCTTCCATTCATATTCACCAATGCATAGTATTATCAAATATGAAAATAATCACCAACACATTTCCCCGGACATAATTGCTCATAAAAAGCACAAGTAACTCTTGAGAGCATTTTCCCTTCATGACATAATTCATACAACACAACCTTTATATGAAAAATGGCAATGTTATGTTCTCAATTATATCACTACAATGAAACTGTATAAGAATATGAAAAATGGAAAATGATGACGGTTATGTTTGTCGATATTTTGTTTTATGTTTGTCGATATTTTGTTTTATAACAATATTATTCTATATCTTATAAGATAGTGGAAAAAACTAAATATTAAATTATACTATTTTGAAATCATCACAAGACTTAGATTATGTTATTTAGAGATAAAATGTGAACTTGTAGAGTTTGAGTAGGAATAAGTTTTTATTTTAATCAATTATTTTTATATATACATATATTTACAATACTAGTTGTGGAAAAATGATTCAAGTTGACGATATTGCCATATTGGAAAACTAATGGTCACAGCTCATAAACATCATATATTTTCATGAGAACGGACTCAAAAATCATGACTTTTGTGATTTAATACAATTTCCACGATTTATTTTCCAAGGGGCAAGAAGTCAGTCAACCAACAAATTATTTAATATAGGAGCAAATCGTGGAAGAAAGGCAAGAAAAACTAATAATCACGGCTTAAAGATATTAATTTCATGAATGCAAATATTTAACACATCAATCACTTTTTGGTTGTTAGTTTAATAGGAGAATGACAATTTCCCACCTAAGGTGCAATTTCCACAATTTATTTTCCAATGGGGTAAGAAGTCAGTCAACCCACAAATTATTTAATATAGGAGCAAACAAGAAGAAAGGCAAGAAAAACCAATAATCACGGCTCAAAGATATTAATTTCATGAACGCAAATATTTAACACATCAATCACTTTTTGGTTGTTAGTTTAACGGGAGAATGACAATTTCCCACCTAAGGTTAGATTTCAGAAAAACAATTTCCCACCCCTCGTTAAAATTCGTTTGTTGACTTTAACTGAAAAAGGACAAAATGATAAATTCAATTTTTTTAAAATTTTTTTATTAAAAAATCAGTTGAATAAGAAATCAAATTAAAAAAAAATAAAAAATAAAATTCTCTAACCCCTTTTGAAAACAGAAAGTTAAAAATTTGGATTAATTTGTTACTATCTAATAGTGCTGGGTAAAAAATGCAGGTTATTAGAAAAAAAAAAAAAAAAAATTGAATCATAATTTACCATTCCACAGGTAACCTCGCCATGTTTTGCATTTGAAAATATAACAAAATAAAACAAATTTTTAATTTTTACATCCTAAATTATATAACAATTAACATTAATGTATAAAGATTATGTGGGATGATTACATTATTTATGATGCATATGTTTTCCCATATTTTTAACCGTGTGTCCCATGAGTAATATTTATTTGGGTATTTTCTAAGGATATTAATATTTATTTGGGTATTTTCTTTAATGACACTATTCGTACAATACAATTTTTATATGAAAATTTGATAATGATATAAGCTTCAATTTTTCTATGGTGACAGTGTATTCCAACAGTCAGAGTACGATTCATCTAAGCAGAAACCCAGTGTATCACGAAAGAACTAAACACGTGGATGTCCGCTATCACTTTGTGAGGGTGATATTCAAGTCAATAAAGAACCAAGTGTCTCCATATTATAAATAGCATAAAGCTAATCTCTTGGCAGTCACATAAGCAGTGCAATCAGTGTGTTATTAAGAAATGGGGTTAAAATGTGTGAGGGCGTGGCTGTTGTTGATTTCAATGTTGATTTCTTTACAAGGATTGAGGATGGAGGGGTGTTTGAAGCAAGAAAGATCTGCTCTCTTGCAACTTAAACATTTCTTCAATGATCCTAACCGTCTTCAAAATTGGGTTGAGGGACATGGAAATTTAGACTGTTGTGACTGGGAAAGTGTTGGTTGCAATTTCAGAACGGGCAGAGTGATCTTTCTTGATCTTGGCTCTACAAGAAATCAGGAATTAGGGGAGTGGTATCTAAATGTTTCTTTGCTTTCTTCCTTCCAAGAATTGGAGATACTTTACTTAAATGGCAATCTCATAGCTGGTTGCATTGAGAATGAAGGTTTTTCCATCCTCACTTTTAAATAATGAAATTTTACTTCTATGTCTTTATTAACAACAATTGCTTGGTAGGTTTTGAAAGATTATCACACTTGAATAATTTCGTGGATCTCGACCTTAGTTACAATATGCTCAATGACAGTCGCATTTTACCAGGTTTGAGCAAACATTCATCTCTCAAGCATTTAAGTCTAGCTTATAATCAATTTAGAGAATAAACCATTTTAATGGTGATGTTCTTTTAAATGACATAACTTTTATTATCAGTTTTATATTTAGATTGATACACAAAATTATGTACGGTTATTATTATTAATATTATTATTGGATTGATTTTAGTTTCAGGGTTGAGTAACTTGGAGTATCTGTGGTTAACCGGTAACATGTTCAATAATAGCATATTATCATATGTGTCTACTCTCTCATCATTAAAACAACTAAATTTGACTAACATCGGATTGAAAGGCACTGTTGATCTTCAAGGTAAGCTTGCTTCTCATCTTTAATTTCTCTCATGGTTTTAGAAACTTCAGTTGACTCTGTCCAAACATCTTCTTCATTTTCTCATGGTTTTAGCTGACTTTGTAATTAAACTTAGGGGTGGGAAAAAAGACCAAAATCGAACCGAACCGAAAAATCAGATCGAAACCGAACCAAAAATTTGGTTTTTTTGAAAATAGGTTCAATTTTCGATTTGAAAAAATTCATAAACTGATTATTCGGTTCAGTTTATAGGTTTTTTTAAAACCAGTTTCAAAAAAAAAAACAACAAAAAAAAAAAAACCCTACTTATAATTATACTTAGCTTCCTAGAGCCCACCGCCACTGCCACTTTTCTCTTTCATCTTCCTTTTTCATCATCTTTTGTCTTCTCCTCCACTTTTCTCTTTCATCTTCCTTTTCATCTTCTTCTCCTCCATTTCTTCTTTTCACCTTTTTTGGTCTTTTTCTCCATCTCTTCTCCTTTAGTTTTATCTTTCTTTTCCGTCTTACCTTCTCTTCCATTTTTCTCTTTCTTTTAGTCTTTTTCTCCAATTTTCAAGTTTATTTGAATTTGTGAAGATGTATGAAATTTGGGTGGCTTAATTTGACTTCTTCGGTGAAGAATAATAGTATGGGTACTGGATAGTTTATCACTTTCGGCCTTTCAGGTGTATTTAATATTTTATAATTTATATCAAAACTTTTAGTTGTATATTTAAATTTCTCCTACATTTGGCTAGAATTTGAGAGTAGAAGTTCTGGTGCCCCATGGCCAAACTTTCTCAGTCGACAGTCATTCTAATTTTAAAAACCAGTTAACCAGTGAACCGAACCATATATTTGGTTCGGTTCATAACCGGTTAGGTATTGGTTCAAGTAAAACCTTGAACCGAAAAATCGGTTCGGTTTCAATTAATCAGAATTTCCCACCCCTAATTAAACTCTTTGACCAACACAAAGAAGGTAGAGTAATTGAGCAGAAATGAGATTTGCCAAAAGGGATAAGACTTATATTCATTTAGAAAGACAATATTGAAGCCTACGGGTATCTACAAGTAATTAATGTTGGCTTAAGGAAAGTTGTTTATTGAATTAAAGTCTTCTTATATACATTTTGATTAGTTTTAACTCACTCTGTTTTAACTCTTGCTAGAATTGGACTCTTTGAGCAACTTAGAGGAGTTGACCATGGGCGGAAATGAGATTAAAAAAATTGTAATTTCCAAAGGTACTTATTGATGATTAATAATATAGAAAACTTACATTTCTCATTGTTTACCAACATTGCTCTGCTTTATGAGAAGTACAGTAGCACACATGTACTATATTTATCTAAAGAGGACATTTCAAATTTTAGAGTTGTATTTTTATTCTAATTTTGAATTTGAGAAAGCATTGAAAATATTTGTGTTTAAATATTTTCACAACCACACAGGTGAAACGAGTTTGAGGAACTTGACTCGGCTTTATCTACACAATATGAGTATTAGTGATGGAAGCAGTCTCTTACAGACATTAGGCTCATTCCCATCCCTAAAGAATGTTGAATTCTACTACAACTTCTTTAGTGGAGCAGTTAATACTTATGGTAAGTTACAATAATATTGAAAGTAAGTACATTGATATTGCCTAATAAAACAGAAAAAAAAAAACAAACTTTCCTTTAAATTATTGTCATAATTACACAATAACTTTGCTAAAATTTGTTCGGCCTTTTCAACAGAGTTGAATAATTTTACCAATGTTAGAGAATTTCAGTTATATGATTCAACTCTCCATATAAGCTTTCTTCGAAGCATTGGAGCATTTATGTTACTTGACAGTTTGTCTATGGATGATTGTGAAGTCAGTGGCGTGTTAACTGATCAAGGTAAATTATATAGAGGTTTTTTCAAATCTTGTACTTCATTTCAATAGACCATGTTTAATTTATTATTGCTTAAAAAAGGATCAAGAAAACTGAAAAAGTGGAATTAGAAGTCTAGTCTAATGCATCATTTCAATAGACAAATTTTAAGATTCATTCAATATTATTTATAAATTCCACAAAAAAATGAAAAAAAAATGAATATTTTTTTTATTAAAGGATTTGGTGAGAAGTGATTCGTAGTATGAATTGAAAATTGATTTATAGATTATTAAATCATTTATTCTTTGAAACACTAACTGTGTATTAATTAAAGTTATTTTTTAGTCTAACCTTCTTTCTCTCTTTAAATTTACATTTTATTGTTTCTCTTGTTTTCACACTTATTAAACTAAAAACAACTTTATTTCTCTTTTTTATTTATTAATGTAATTTTATTTTGTCAACATCAATTTTTTTTTTATTTAAGATTTTATTTAACCTTGCTAAATTTTTTCAGTTTAGCCCTTATACCATATTGAATGTTCTTTTCAGTGTTTTTCAATTTAGAATATTACAATTTTGGTGTAGACTATGCTAGTAGGAAAGGAGATTATTAATATAGGATCACTTATTTTAAAAACAACAAGAAAAAGATCACAAGGTATAAAACTCTATTTACAGGCTCCCTTAACAACTAAATTCAATTAAAATAAACTTGCTTCAAGGGCATTTTGAAATTTCAACATTTTGACTATAAGTAACTGTTAAATATTATATGGCCAATAAAAATATGTTGTGAAGAAAATGAAATATTAAAATGTTAAAAAACTGAGAATATTTGAAAAAATTAAAAAAAAAAAACTAAAATGATAAAAAGTCTAGGCCAGCAGGGCCAACAGCAGGCCCAGCTATTGTTGTTGGCCGCTGCTAGCCTGGTTATATGCCCTCCATTTCTCCGCACTTCTCTTCACTCAAAATTCATCTCTCTACTCTTTACTCCCACCATAACCCTCTCTATCTCTCTCAATTAATTCTGACTTCAGTCATGGCTAAGGACATGAAAGTAGGTAGGTGTAGCGACTTCCGTGCAAAATACTATAAAAAATTAATTATTTTCTTTTTGAATTTTTTATTTATTTTCTACCTCTTTTAAAATATTTTCGTTTGTTTTCTTATAAAAAAACTATTATAAGTTTTTTAGAGGAAAAGAAAAATATTAATTTACAATTATTATTAATTTATGGCAAAATAAGAGTATCCATTATTCTTGTCAGAGTATGTTAGTCTTTTAATATTTTTATATGTCACTAAGTTTTAATAAGGGTATTACAGTAAATGTCATTAAAACAGTTAATTTTAATAGAATTTAGGTCTTAAGTGCCCTTTTTAATCAAGTTTTATAACTTAAGGTTTTTTCCTTATTGTTTTTTAAATAAGTGGTCTTAAATTAATAATCTTCCTAATAACTTTTGTGTTTTTGTAGAGTTACCTTCGTTCAAGAATTTGAAAAATTTATATATCAGTGACACTGTTTTTCACAACAACTTTTTTCAAGTGATTGGGGCTATGACTTCCCTTGAGGATATTTACATTACAAGTAGTGACATTAGCGAGACTCTACTTGACCAAGGTTAGTAACTTTTCCCTCTCCCTACAAGTTGAATTAATTTTATGCATTTTTAAGTATTTTTAAAATAATTTTGGAATCTTTTTATCAAATAAATGCTAAATCAAAAAATTATAAATATATCTTTAAGAGTATATAGTATATTGAATACACACTATATAAGAAATTTTAAAAGTGAAACTAAATATTTGTTTTTCAATTATAAACTTGAAGGTAAATATTAAGAAAACCAATTCTAAATCAAAAGACTAAAACTTGTTTATGATATTAATTCAGACTAATTAATTGTTAAATATTTTTTCTTTGTAGTGTTGGGTAACTATTATTTAGTATAAAAAATTTGAACAAAGAATTTAAGGTTATTATAGCCTATCCTATATTCATAATAATATAAATTTATTATATTTAGAATACTAGATCTTTAGTTGGAGGCATTCAATTGGTTTAAATTAAGTTTTCTCATAGGCAACAATCTGATTAATTTTAGGACAATAAATTAAATTAAATGTTAGTAATTAACAATGAGGTGCACCGAATTGGGTATACATCCCATTTATTTTCTTTTAACCTCTTGTTCTTCTTCTTCTTTTATTTATTTTTTATTATTATTTTTTTAATATGATGTTTGACAGATATGCCGGCTTTTCATTATCGAATGTTTTTTTTTTCAATGTTTTTCAATTTAGAATATTAAAATAATTGGTGTAGATTATTAAACAATATTTCCAAGGTGATGTGATCTATACTAGTAGGAAAGGAGATCATCCTTTCTCCTATACCAAATGTTCTTTTCAATATTTTAAATATTAAAATAATTTTTTTTTAGAGGAAAAGAAAAATATTATTTTATAGTTATTATTAATTTATGGCAAAATAAGATTATCCTTTTTTTGTCAGGGTTATGTTAGTCTTTTTATGTTTTTGATAATCATTAAATTTTAATAAGGGTGTCGTAGTAAATGTCATTAAACGGTTAATTTTGACAAACTTTAAGTGTGCAGTGGCCTTTTTAATAAAGTTTTCCTTATTGATTTTTAAATAAGTGGTCCTAAATTCATAATCCTCCTAGTTACTTTTTATATTTAAGATTTTAACCCTGCTGATTTTTTTTCCAGTTTAGCCCCTAGACCATATTGAATGTTCTTTTCAATGTTTTTTCAATTTAGAATATTAAAATATTTGGTGTAGATTATTGAACAATATTTAAATATTTTCAAGATGATGTGATCCATGCTAGAAAGGAGATCATTAATTTAGGATCACTTTTTAAAAAACAACAAGAAAAAGATCACAAGTTATAAAACTCTATTTACAGGCTCACTTAACAACTAAATTCAATTAAAATAAACTTGCTTCAAGGGCATCTTGAAATTTCAACATTTTGACTATAAGTAACCGTTAAATATTATATGGCCAATAAAAATATGTTGTGTAGAAAATGAAATATTAAAATATTAAAAAACTGAGAATATTTGAAAAAAAAAAAAAAAACTGTAGAGACTTCCATGCAAAAGACTATAATAAATTAATTCTTTTCTTTTTTGAATTTTTTATTTTATTTTCTACCTCTTTTAAATATTTTAGTTTGTTTTCTTATAAAAAACTATTATAATTTTCTTTTAGAAGAAAAAGAAAAATATTATTTTAAATTATTATTAATTTATGGCAAAATAAGAATATCCTTTCTTCTTAGGGTTATATTAGTCTTTTACTTTTTTTTTTTTGGTCACTAAATTTTAATAAGGGTATTACAGTAAATGTCATTAAACAGTTAATTATCCCTCTCCTTACAAGTTAGATTATGACTTTTAACTGGGTCTAAAATGTTTTCTAGAATATAAACAATGATCCAACGAATTGATTAGAGTAAATAAAATTGCATAAATTCTCAGCAAAATTTTGTACCTTATATATATGTAACAAGAACATTCAGTTAACATATTTTCAAGGTGATGTGATCTATGTTAGTAGGAAATCAGATTATCCTTTCTCTTATACCATATTGAATGTTCTTACCAACATTAAAATAATTTTTTTAGAGGAAAAAAAATATATTATTAGACGCCTATTATTAATTTATGGAAAAATAAGAATATCCTTTTTAGCCAGGGTTATGTTAGTCTCCTTATGTTTTCATATGTCACTTAAGTTTAAATAAGGGTATTATAGTAAATGCTATTAAAACAGTTAATTTTAACAAAATTTAGGTGTTAACTGTTAACTATTAAGTGCCCTTTTTAATCAAGTTTTACAACTTACCGTATTTTCCTTGTTGTTTTTAAAATAAGTAGTTCTAAATTGATAATCTTCCTAATTAATGAGAAAAAGTAACAACCCTTTCATAAGCGTAGCCATCTAATTAACGAGGGCCAAAGTCCAACACATTTCTTGGTAATTTAAAAGTATAATCCGAGCACATATTATAAAAAGAAAAAAAAATATCTGAATTTATTAAATTAATTTTTTATATACACTCTTTTATTCATTTTATTAATGGTTAATTTATATATATAAAATTTTATGTCAAGTATTCTTCATTAAATATTTGATTATTAATGAGAAAATTTTCCAATTTAGAAGATTAATTAATTTGTTTGGGACATTCAATTGGTTTTGTACTAAAAAGTCTCTTAAGGCATGAGATTATTTGTCCCAAAATATTTAGGAAAAGATAGTCAAAACCTAACAATGAATATGTAATGCCGGATTAACTCTAGTCTTTTAGATCATTAATATCTAATTAGTACTACTCTTAAACGATGGTTAAATGGTTGAATGGGCTTTTTTTAAATTATTTTGTTAAATAAAATAGAACATTGAGATTAATCTTCCAGTTAGTTTATGGTATATCTTATTTATTTCCATTATACATAAAGAAAATACACATATTTTTTTTTCTTGTGTAGAATTGCCTACATTCAAGAATTTAACAGAATTATATATAAGTAAAACTACTTTCAACAACAACAACTTTCTTCGAATGCTTGGGAGCATGACTTCTCTTAAGTTTTTAACAATTGTCAACTGTGACCTCAAGGACATGTCCTTTGACAAAGGTTAGTAACTTGTTTCCTTCCCTTCTAAGTGTAATTAATTGTTTTATTGAAAATTTATATCAGGTACGTAATATAATACAAGATGATACATTAATTAAATAGATATGAATTAAGAATTAAAACAAGTAATATTTTTTATATACATTACTTCAATTGGTCAGGTAATATTGATCAAATTAGAGTAAATAATTATCTCTCTTATAATTTAATTAAATAATTAATTAATTCTAGATAAGTTAATGGTTTGTGCTACTGTAATGAAATTCTATCCTCTAAAATGTTAAAATATATTTAATTATCTGGTTATCCCATCTATATTATTAATAAGAGATTAAAAATATTTAATTGGAACATTTATTATTAAAGACAATCAAATTTCCATATAAGATACTTATTATAAATATAAGAAAATACCAAATTAAAAATCTACTATATAGTCTTATAGATTAGCGATATGCAACATTTTAGTTGTCTATAAAAATATAAACCTGCACCTAATTTGATAACCATTACAACTACTTTGCTTATAGAAAATTACTTTCCCCACTAATATGACATTAAAAATAATCATAGAAAAAGATAGTCTATATGAAATTAGCTAGAAGCACGAAATCCTGAAGTTTAGAATCCTAGTTGGCAGTTGAAATAAGAACATTGGATTCACATCCTATTTAGCGTATGTGAAATTTAATATTGTTCGCAAATTTGCCTAGTTTCAAGAATTTAAAACTTTTGAAGATGGATGAAACATTAAATCATTTGTGGATTTTTTACTCTTATCTTTTTCAATTATTAAAAAGCAAACTGAAAATTTAAATTCTCAAATAAACAATTATTATATATCAAAAAATTTACATGATTTAATAATATTTTCAATTTCATTTTCTTCTTAAATTTATTTAATTCCACAATAGTTATGTAGAGATTTCTTGAATTCATTGACCATAGGGATATAAAACCATTACAGTAAAACTCGTATGTACTTACGAGTAAAATGCTAGGCAAAACTTTTTAAAATTCTTAAATATATATATAACTCTATTAAAAAGGAAAAAAACATAGAAATAAATAGTTCACATGGCTGGTATATTTATTAAATTTGTGCACTATAATAATTATTACGCATATTGATTAAGGAACATTTGCATAGCTATAATTACCCTTGTTAAGTGCCCTTTTTAATCAAGTTTTACAACTTACGGTATTTTACTTATTGTTTTTAAAATAAGTGGTCATAAATTGATAATCTTCCTAATTAACGAGAAAAAGTAACAACCTTCTCATAAGTAGCAGCCATCTAATTAACGAGGGCTAAAGTCCAAAACTTTTCTTGCTAATTTAAAAGTATAATCCGAGCACATGTTATAAAAATAAAAATAATTATCTGAATTTATTTAATTACATTTTTATATACACTCTTTTATTCATTTTATTAATGGTTAATTTATATATAAAAAAATTTATGTCTAGTATTCTTCATTAAATATTTGATTATTAATGAGAAAATTTTCCAATTTAGAAGATTAGTTAATTTGTTTGGGACATACAATTGGTTTTGTACTAAAAAGTCTCTTAAAGCATGAGATTATTTGTCCCAAAATATTTAGGAAAAGATAGTCAAAACCTAACAATGAATATGCAAAGCCGGATTAACTCTAGTCTTTTAGATCATTAATATCTAATTAGTACTACTCTTAAACGATGGTTAAATGTTTGAATACACTTTTCTAAATTTATTTTGTTAAATAAAATAGAACATTGAAATTAGTTTATGGTATTTCTTCTTTATTTCAATTACACATAAAAAAAACAATTTTTTTTCCTTCTTTATGTGTAGAATTGCCTACGCTCAAGAGTTTGACAAAATTGGATATAAGTAACACTATTTTCAACAACAACAACTCTCTTCAAATGCTTGGTAGCATGACTTCTCTTAAGTATTTATCAATTGTCAACTGTACCTTCAAGAACACGTCACTTGATGAAGGTTAGTAACTTTTTTCCTTCCCCTTCTAAGTGTAATTAATTGTTTTATTGAAAATTTATATTAGGTAATATTATGATACATTACTTAAATAGATATGAATCAAGGATTAAAACAGGTAATATTTTTTATGTACATTACTTCAATTGATTAGGTAATATTGATCAAATGACTTATTAGAGTAAATAATTATCTCTCTTATAATTTATTTAAATAATTAATTAATTATAGATAAGTTAATGGTATATACTACTGTAATGAAATTCTATCCTCTAAAATGGTAAAATATATTTAATTATCTAGGTTATTCCATCTATATTATTAATAAGAAATTAAAAATATTTAATTGGAACATTTATTATTAAAGATAATCAAATGTCCATATGAGATAATTATTATAAATATAAGAAAATACCAAATTAAAAATCTACTATATAATCTTATAGATTAGCGATATACAACATTTTGGTTGTCTATAAAAATATAAACCTGCACCTAATTTGATAACTTCTACAACTACTTTTCTTCTAGAAAATAACTTTCCCCACTAATATGACGTAAAAATAATCATAGAAAAAGATAGTCCATATGAAATTAGCTAGAAGCACGAAATCCTGAATATTAGAATCCTAGTTGACAGTTGAGATAAGAACATTGAGTTTACATCCTATTTAGCGTATGTGAAATTTAATGTTGTTGGCAGATTTGCCTAGTTTCAAGAATTTAAAACTTTTGTGAACTATTACGTATTAATCTAAAATTTAATGGATGAAACATAAATTATTTGTGGATTTTTGACTCTTATCCTTTTCGATTATTAAAAAGCAAATTGAAAATTTAAAGTCTCAAATAAACAATTATTATATATCAAAAAATTTATATTATTTAATATTATTTCAATTTCATTATCTTCTTAAATTTATTTAATTCCACAATAGTTATGTAGAGATTTCTTTAATCCATAGCCCGCAGGGATATAAAATTGTTACAGTAAAACTCATATGTACTTACGAGTAAAATGCTAGACAAAACTTTTTAAAATTTTCAAATATATATATAACTCTATTAAAAAGGAAAACAACATAAAAATAAATAGTGCACATGGCTAGTATATTTATTAAATTTGTGCACTATAATAATTATTACGCATATTGATTAAGGAACATTTGCATATCTATAATTACCCTTGTGCTTCATATACCAACGGTTAAAGAACAGTTTGTATTTCAGGAATATGTAAGATGCATCAGCTTGTGCAGTTACGTATCAATGGTAATGGTTTAACAGGTACCTTCCCTTGGTGGTGTGTAGCAAACTTGATTTTCCTTGAAGAATTAGATATCTCCATTAATTCCTTTAGTGGGCACATTCCAATGGAAATTGGAGCATATCTACCAGTGTTAAATTCTTTCAACATTTCTGGAAATACTTTTGAAGGTTGTATTCCATCTTCATTTGGTGACATGAAGTCGTTGAAATATTTAGATATGTCTAATAATTTCTTGACTGGAGGAATACTTGAGGAATTGGCGGGTTGCATCTCATTAGAACACCTAGCATTGTCAAATAATAGTTTGCAAGGTCAGATATTCTAGGATGTAATGTTCAGAGATGAAATTCATTCACATGTGTTTGACTTTTTTTTTTTTTTTTTTTTCTGGAATTAATAGATTTAGCTGTATTTTATGTTATTGCTCTCCTTGTGCACAAATGTTAAGGATAATGATGAAAGTGAGCCATTGGTCTTGGTTCTTATTCTGTCATTTAGTTGACTATCTGCAACTAGGCCTGCAATCGAACCGAACATGAACGAACGGGCCCGTTCGAAAATCGTTCGATAAGCATGTTCGATTGTTCGTGTTCGTGTTCGTGTTCGAACGAACACAGGATGTGTGTTCGTGTTCGTTCGATTAACAGAAAGCTCGTTCGTGTTCGTTCGCAACTCGTTCGTGTTCGTTCGACTAACCTGTTCGACTAACTCGTTCGACTAACCTGTTCGACTAACTCGTTCTACTAACTTGTTCGTTCGACTAACTCGTTCGATAATTTGTAAATACTTGTTCGACTAACTCGTTCGATAATTCGTTCGATAATTTGTAAATACCTGTTCGACTAACTCATTCGATAATTTGTAAATACCTAAATATTTTAAATGTTTACATATATATTTTGTATCAACACCCATAAATTTATAGTGGAATGAAAGTCTATTGTAATATATGATCAATACATATGTGTGATTAATTTGTTATATATAATGTGTAATTGTGTATATACAAAATTATTATCATACATATATTAATCATAGGTTAAATATGTTATGAAATTACCAAAATTATAGGTTATCATATATTTATTATCATTACATAAATTATCATAAATATTTTAAATGTTTACATATATATTTTTTATCAACATCCATAAATTTATAGTAAAATGAAAATCTATTGTAATATATGATCAATACATATGTGTGATTAATTATATATATATATTATCATTACTGTCTACATATTTATTTTGTACCAACACCTATAAATTCATAGTGATATGAGAGTTTATTGTAATATGTGATCAATACAAATGTGTGATTAATTTAGGTTTAATTAAACTATTATATTATTAAATTTGGTATGCTATACATCACTTGATTATACAATATGTTATGTTTATCAATTTACCATACTATATTTATTATTTATTAATTGAAATGTTATCTTATAATATTTAATTATTGATTACATTTAGAAAAATATGAAGCTATTATGTTATTAGATTTACTATATTATTTATCACTTGATTATACAATTTATTATGTTATTAAATTTGTCATGCTATGTATCATAGTAATTTATTACTTTTTAATTAAAATGCTATATACTTATATATTTAATTATTGATGACATTTGGAAAAAAAAAAATCCAAACATATTATATATATAAGAAAAACAAAAGTATCATAATATTTTATTATTGATTACCATTAAAAAAAATTCATCCAAACTCAATCAAACATAATATAAAAATGGAATTTTTTTTTTTAATTATAATAATGCATAACATGTTTTTCGAACATAAACGAACGAACAATCGAACGATTGTTCGCGAACGGATGAATTAGTCGAACGTATAGTGTTCGCGAACATAATCGAACGAACAACCCCTGTTCGAACTCGATCGAACATATTATCGAACAATTATCGAACTGTTCGCGAACAAATGTTCGCGAACATTATCGAACAGTAATCGAACGAACAACGAACGTTCGCGAACTGTTCGGTTCGTTTGCAGCCCTATCTGCAACACGAGCAATTAATTAAAACATTCTTTTTTTAACAATTTAAGCAATAAAATATAATATAATTAAATTCTTATAAGTAATTTTGTATTCGGATTCTAAACTATATATATAAACACATATTAAGATGGGCCACTTTTGTGGACTTTTGTAATCATTTACTTCTCGATTGTTACTGAACTATTGCTGTAATTTCCTAATTTTTGACAATGCTAAAAGATTACTAACAACACATAAATAGTGGAATGCATACAAAACTTCATAATCATATTATACCAAATCGCAAATAAAGTACATTAAAATTATATTATTTCACTAAAAATTATAATAAAGAAAATAAATTTCAAATTAAATAAATAGCAGTACAAATTATTATAATATCTAATAAAAAAGAAAAGGAAAGCTTTCATCCATGCTTTCATCACCATGTTATCCATGCCTAAAAATATAACAAGATAATGTTAGGATGGGGAGTGCTATGGACCATCGTTTGTGAAGTTGCAAGATCAATCGGGTCACTCTCCTTTTAACACGTATCCCTTTCCCCATTTAGACTGAATTACGGTAAGCAAAAGCCTATTGTGTTAACTTTAATTACAAATATGTCAATTACCTTTTATCTTGAGGTTGGGTCGAATCCAAAAGACCCTATGTGATACTTGTAATTACTCTCAACCTCCTTCGGTACTGATAATGACTCAACCTTCTATTGTTGGTATCTTTTTGTTACTTTTAACTACAAAAAGGATAAATGACCTTAATGCCCTCAGCTGCTTTGCCCATTAGTCGTAACCCATCCCACTTACTAGCACTTCATCTCTATTAGCCCCCAAAACCCATGAATATTACAACTTTTGGTAAGAAAATAGAAAAGAATCTAAACAAATAAAAAAAATCTAAAAAAAAAAAGAAAAAAATGAGGATTTTTTTTGAATAAATGAAAAAGAATAAGAAATATATGATAATAATTAAAAAAAAAAATTGATCTAAAAACTGAAAAACTTACTTTGTAAAAAGTTAAAAAAATTAATAATAATCTGAAAAAAAAAAAATTGAACTTGGCAAATATTTTTAGATTTTAGCTTTCTTTTTTTTTTTTTTATTGGTTTTTGTAGTATTTCTTTTTAAGTATTCTTAATTTTTCAAAAAATTTAAAAGTTTTTCTTAATTCCTCTTTTATTTAGTACTTGTGTTTTTAGGTTAAGGATTTGTGTTGTTTAAGTTTTTTTTTTTTTTTTTTTAAACTTTATTAGTTATTTTACATTATTTATTTAAAAATGAGTTGTTAATAAATTTTATGGTAAATTAGTCAAGTTCAAAATATAATTACGGTATTTCATAATTGTGTTTGGTCAAATTTAGTCAAGTCCCTTCTTTTTTGAGGTTTATGTGGTAGTTTCCAGAGTTTTTGGGATATAAGTAGTTTACTAGTTTTAAACTTAGTGATTCTAAAAATTTAGGTGTATTTTACTCTTTTACCCTTGAATTTGTTAATATATATACTATATATGAACTGGGACAGCCGAATAGGAACCGGAAGGAAGATAATCTTGGTTTCTTTTGTGAAATTTTAAAATTGGATGCTTTATTCTCTTTATCTTTATAAATTAAAACCCATTCTAATAATGGATAAATGTAAAAAAAAAAAAAAATATTTAAGAGTTACTTATAGGTTTATTTGTATTTATTATAAATACATAATTTAGGTATAAGAAGAGGATCAATCAACTATCAGAAAAGCATATATCTTTGAGAAACTCTTCTAAAGTGTTTAATTTTAGTTATTCAACTTTACACATACTTTACGAACAGGTGGTGGATTATGTGCTTGGGTTAGAAAACTGTAGATGTTGAACTGGTGAAACTAGAAATTCAGTTTGGTTTGTGAAAGCTGAAGCTCAAGGTAAAAAAAATAGCAGAACAGTTACATATAAGTTGAATCCTTTTATTCATTTTAACTAATGCCATTTTTAATTAACCTTAATTGCATATGAAATTGATATATGCTGTAACTGCTTCAGAGAAGTTTCATGTTATAGTTGTATTTTTACCAAATGGACTATAACCATCCATTACCTAGCAGTTGGTAGAGGAATAGAGAAATCTTTCCAGCCAGGATTTAATAACGATTATGAGAATAGCTAATCACATCATCATATTTATCTCAATAAAACAGATCAAACTATGCTGGTGAAATGCAAGGAATTGTATGCTTTTAGCTCTGTTTTGTATGTCCTGGGTATCCCTTTTCTTGACCTATGTTTTAGACTCTATTTTGGTAGAGTCCTTTGCTAAAACAGAGGAGGGTATTCCCAAAGAAGAGAACTTCTGAATCTATTTGATAAGCTTATGATATACTCTGCTTTGTTTATTATTGAGGGACGGCTATACCCTGTTTTGTTTATGAGGAAGTCGTTGTTTATGGTGTTTGTATTACTGGAAATGAACATTTGGGTTTGTGACGCAAAAACGATTTTTCATTCAACAGTTGAAAACGATTCTGAAAAACATTGACATGATTCACATGAAGTTAAAAGAATTGTTTTATTATAACTTAAACTCCAGCTATTGGCAATAATTCCTACAAATACCATGAAAATGGAAGTAATAAACTGTGCTGAGACTGCCAGCAATAGGATTCGTATCAGAAAATAGTCAGCAGGATACACCGAGACATAACATCACCGTGAAGCGACCTCTAATGGCTGAATTAACGATTTCTGCTTGCTTCCAACAATTTATCAGAGGCAAACAAAGTGAAATTTCATGTAATATAGTTCTTCAACAATTGCTCTGTAGTTAATTTGCTAGATCCTTCATTTTCTGTTCTAGCTCTTGAGCTTCATAATTTTGTCTGCCAAAAAAAAAAACAAAAAAAAAAAAAAAAAAGCAGATAAAGTGAGAATTACTTACAAAACCTTTTTTAAGTTTATTCTTTTCAAGAAATAGTCACTTTTAAAATCTACCAACCTATTTCATTTCCAGAATTTATAAGAACACTGCAGTGTGTATTCCTGAGTATTGTGAAGCCAACATCCCTTTGATGCCAACACATAATGTGCCAATTTTTAAAGCATATTCCTATTCAAGTAGGGAAACAATTAAACACAATCAAGCAAAAACTTCCATTTTTCCATCTGGAGAAACAAAAATCAATAAGTAGAAAATGAGATTGTGTAAGACTATTGAATTGATATATTAATGTGCAGGAAAAAGAAGAAACTAATCACCCTAGTCCATTCAATTCTTTTAATGGCAGTAAATTCATCAGGAGATATCATCTCTTGCCTTAAATGCAGAATAAATGAAACTGCTGATGATGAAAAGATCAACTGAAACTACAAGACCAACAACTCTGAGCGTTTGATATAAAGTAAACATGGTCAACGAATCGAAGATAATGGAATCTCCTTCTGAAGGACTGGAACATAAGGAAGCCTAAAGAGACAACAAACCAATTGAGTTATGACACTGGAAAGTACCTTAAGATGAGATGTTTCTCCTGTTTACCATGTTTGATCACCGAAACCTTTCTCATCCGTTCAACCAGAACACTGTATTACTTGATATAAGAACTTTATATCGAATGCCAATTCTCCGAAAAGGATTCAATATCAGGAAATGATGCTCCGCTGATTATGTGTTCAGTTGATTCTTAGAAATAACTGAAATTATCAGTAATTAAAATTAGTATCAACCAGCTAAAATATATCAGTTAAAAACTTTCTTCCCTGACACAAAGATGACACTAATAGTAAAATAAACAATGACAAAAGAGAAGACAGAATCCAACTATATATATACATAATAATAGTTCAACCCCCAACACCACCCCAAACAAATTTGGGGTTGATACTATGATATATGGGCTAACTCACTCTCAAAAGTTAGCTCAAACGAACCAACCACATATATACATCGTAACAGACCATCAATTTGGTGATGTGAGATAAATTCAACTTCTAACAATCTAAATGTTCAAAACAAGTCAAGTATGGGCAGAATTGTGAAATTGGCTGTTTAGGTCGAGAAAATGAATAAGAATTGATACAGATTCCGTAGAATCAACAAGAACCAAAATATTTGTTGGACATATATTTAGACTGACATACCTGGGAATGATGGTTTATGAAACTGAATTGAATTCAGTCCTCTTCTTATGAGTTACCAGAGGTTTACACTCCAACCTCTGGAGACAGGAGGTAGGTGGGCTATCATGGGCCAATAGAGTCCTTCATCCTTCTTGCACCTTTCTTCTAGCAAAGGACACTCATCAATATATAGTTTCAAAAGCGACGGAGGCAGGCCCTGCTCTGTAAAGTATTTGAGCTTTGGACAATGAAGGATAGATAGTTTCTTTAAGGAAGTGAGGCTTTGAACCACTGAAGATAGCCTTTCTAAATTTGGAAAGTTCTCAAATCTGTATGGTGGTTAGAGAGGTAGGAAGTGTCATTTCCATTTCCTCCTGTGGAAAGGATTCCACGTCATCACACCCCCCTCTAATGTACAGTATTCTAAGAGAGTTGAGTTTGTGTAGCCCCCAATCGAACAAAGGCTTGCAGATGTTGACATCTTTCATCATTAAGAACGCAAGGTTGGTGGGAAATCCATCCTGAGGGAAGGATACAATGCCTGGACATCTTTCTATTCTCAATTCTTGAAGACAGGAGAGGTTGTGCATGTTATTCGGTAAGGCCATCAGTTTCTCACAGCCGTTAATCCGGAGCTCTGTCAGTTTCGTGGAAGGCAAACCTCCTTCTGGAAACCGGACAATGCTTGAACAATTCTGTAATATAACCTTTTGAAGACTGGTCAGCCTGTTCATGTCATCAGGTAAAGATTTAAGATTTAAACACTTCTCAATGACAATTGTTTCAAGAGATATGTTGCTGCTGGATATCAATGCCTCGGGAAAAGATTCCAGAGCTTTGCAATTCTCAATTCTGAAGGATTTCAGCTGGGAAGGAACGCCAATTCCTGCAAAAGAAAAAAGATTTGTGCAGTTCCTTAGATATAACTCTCTAAGGGAACTGAGATTGTGCAATGCTTGTGGTAGCTTGTCAAGGCATTCACAATTCCCCAATTCCAGATATTGGAGTCTGCAGGGCAACCCTTTCTGTCCTTGCTCTTCTTCTTCCTCTGTCATCAACGAAAACAGTGGGGGATGGAGAGAGCTAATATCTTGGTGTAATCCCATTTCTNAACTTCTAACAATCTAAATGTTCAAAACAAGTCAAGTATGGGCAGAATTGTGAAATTGGCTGTTTAGGTCGAGAAAATGAATAAGAATTGATACAGATTCCGTAGAATCAACAAGAACCAAAATATTTGTTGGACATATATTTAGACTGACATACCTGGGAATGATGGTTTATGAAACTGAATTGAATTCAGTCCTCTTCTTATGAGTTACCAGAGGTTTACACTCCAACCTCTGGAGACAGGAGGTAGGTGGGCTATCATGGGCCAATAGAGTCCTTCATCCTTCTTGCACCTTTCTTCTAGCAAAGGACACTCATCAATATATAGTTTCAAAAGCGACGGAGGCAGGCCCTGCTCTGTAAAGTATTTGAGCTTTGGACAATGAAGGATAGATAGTTTCTTTAAGGAAGTGAGGCTTTGAACCACTGAAGATAGCCTTTCTAAATTTGGAAAGTTCTCAAATCTGTATGGTGGTTAGAGAGGTAGGAAGTGTCATTTCCATTTCCTCCTGTGGAAAGGATTCCACGTCATCACACCCCCCTCTAATGTACAGTATTCTAAGAGAGTTGAGTTTGTGTAGCCCCCAATCGAACAAAGGCTTGCAGATGTTGACATCTTTCATCATTAAGAACGCAAGGTTGGTGGGAAATCCATCCTGAGGGAAGGATACAATGCCTGGACATCTTTCTATTCTCAATTCTTGAAGACAGGAGAGGTTGTGCATGTTATTCGGTAAGGCCATCAGTTTCTCACAGCCGTTAATCCGGAGCTCTGTCAGTTTCGTGGAAGGCAAACCTCCTTCTGGAAACCGGACAATGCTTGAACAATTCTGTAATATAACCTTTTGAAGACTGGTCAGCCTGTTCATGTCATCAGGTAAAGATTTAAGATTTAAACACTTCTCAATGACAATTGTTTCAAGAGATATGTTGCTGCTGGATATCAATGCCTCGGGAAAAGATTCCAGAGCTTTGCAATTCTCAATTCTGAAGGATTTCAGCTGGGAAGGAACGCCAATTCCTGCAAAAGAAAAAAGATTTGTGCAGTTCCTTAGATATAACTCTCTAAGGGAACTGAGATTGTGCAATGCTTGTGGTAGCTTGTCAAGGCATTCACAATTCCCCAATTCCAGATATTGGAGTCTGCAGGGCAACCCTTTCTGTCCTTGCTCTTCTTCTTCCTCTGTCATCAACGAAAACAGTGGGGGATGGAGAGAGCTAATATCTTGGTGTAATCCCATTTCTGTCTCACAGAAAGATGTTAGCTGCCTACAACCAGAAATTGTCAGTTCTTCTAAATTTGGCATCCCTTGCATAAAACCCTCTGCCAGAGACACGCGATTTGACACTCTGGAAAGTACCACCGACTTCAATGATCTGAGGTCCACTGTACTCCACTCCACCACTTTGCATCCACCAATTTTTAATTCACGAAGTGCTGGAAAACTTGGAACTGAAACCGAGAATTTCTTACATTTTTCAATGACAAGCTTATTCAATAAATGAAGACATTTCGGCAATCTTCCTCGCAAGTTTGGACACCGTATAATACGAAGCTCTCGCAACTGAGGAAAGCATTCAACTTCTTCACTAGGTCTATGAGGAACCCATTCTTCCCATTCTTTCATGTCAAGAAAATGGAGAATTTCAAGTGATGGAAAAGGGGCTGAGAAACCATTTCCATAGAAGTCTAAACCCACGCATTTTACTCCATTCATTCCCTTGAAAACAAGGTCCTTGAGGGAGCGCAGTTGCCCTACTGATGGCAGGGAAATACACTTGCGGCAATATTGGAATTTTAAACACTCTAGTTTTGAGAATGAGAAATCTCCTAACCAAGTTGGAAATTTTATACCATCATAGCCTCTGATAATGAGTTTTTTCATATTTTGATGAGGTCGTAGCATGCCAAGTACCTGCATTTGAGTTTCCCCTGGCTTTGAAATTACACCACTGCACTTCCATTCCAAAACTAGCTCATTGAGGTTCTCCTCACCATTTAAGTCAGCCTCCTCAACATCATTAGCATCATGAACATTCTCCAACCTGGAAATGTGAAGCCTCTCCCTTAGGTGAGTTAAGGACTTCAACTCTGCTATTCCAGAGCCAACACCTTTCCCCACAACAAACTTAGACAGTGTTTGGAGACCAGTTAATTTACTGATCCTTAAAGGCATTTGCTCCAATGAATCTACTTTGAAAATATTGACATGATGTAGATTGATTAGATTGCCTATGTCTGCACATAATTTTCTTAGACGAGCACAGCCCTCTAGTACAAGTGCTTGTAAATTGTAAAGAGTACTCACTGATTCAGGCAAACTTTCAATACAAGTGTAGGAAAGGTCAAGGTAACGTAGATGCTTCAAATCTCCAATTTGATTTGGCAGCTCCCGAATGCAAAATATGTGCAAAGATAAAACCCTTAAACAGTGTAACTTCCACAACTTAGGATGAATAACAGCTTCCTCTATGCAAGAGGAATCGTGATTTTTCTTTACGTGAAACGCAAGCTTAGGGTGAATAAAAGCTTTTTGTTCACGGGGCAAGTAAAAGGATTCCTTCCCTTGCATCATCAATAACAGGAAAGTTCGTAAACCTTTGATGTTATTTGAGGCCTCAAGCTTTTCAATGCCATCCAGGGGGCCACTAATGTAAGATAAATGACGAAGAATATTATTAGAAAAAACATACTGGTTGTCACTCTCATGTGTATCCTCCATTCTAAAATATACTTCTCCTGCAGCCCACTAAGTAAGGTCATGAATAAGATCATGCATCACAAATACTGACCTACTCGATTTTGATTCTTCGAAAAATGATCTTGATTTTAGCTCACAAAAATAGTCACGACCTAATTCTTCCATTTTCTTCACATTATTTTCAGGTTGTAATAAACCCTCAGCCATCCATAGTAAAATAATATTTTCCATTTCAAATTCATAACCCTTTGGAAAGAGTGAGCAATATGCAAAGCACCGTTTCAAATGTGAAGAAAGATAATAATAACTTACTTTAAGAGCTGGAATAATGTCACATTTCTCTTCTGGTAAAGCCCACATCTTGCTATTTAGTACGTTTTCCCACTCGTTGATGTCATATTTACCATGCAGCAGACCACCAAGACTTTTAGCTGCCAAAGGCAAACCATCACACCTTTTCACTATCTTTTCTCCAATTTCCTTCAAGTGTGGATGCATGTTAAAATCTGTTCTGCCCAATGAATGTTGAGTAAATATACACAAACATGCTTCATTTGACAACTCTTTCAACTGGTGCGCTGGCAGTGTACCTACCATAGATGAAACACCCCGATTCCGAGTTGTGACAATAATCTTACTTCCTCGTAATCCAGCTTCAAATGGTTGGCTTAGGGTAGCCCAATAATTGGGATTTTCATTCCAAATATCATCTAAAACAAGCAAATATTTCACTTCAGACAGTTTTTGCTTCAACTTGACTTGAAGCAAGTTTAGATCATTAATATTACCAGTCTCAGCGCCGATGGAACATAAAATTGTTTCTGTTATGTTGATAATATCAAAATCCTCAGAAACACTAACCCAAGCCTTGAAACCAAAATGAGATTCTATCCTGTCATCATTGTAGACAAGCTGAGCAAGAGTTGTTTTGCCCACCCCTGCCATCCCAGTTATAGGAATAACAGCAAATCCATTACTAGTACTTGAATCATCATCTATCAATAAACTAACTATTGCCTCCTTATCTTGTTCCCTGCCGAACACTTTGGCTGGCCCATTCCACCAAAGAGGTCGCTGTGGTCTTTGGCTGCCTTTTCTGGACCTTCCTCCGAAATTTTCTTCCAGACCCAGATGTTGTTTCCGTGTTGCTATATCTTGCAATCTGGTATTAAACTCCTCTATTTGGGATGCCATCGCGGAATTGAATCTTTTAACTTAAAAGATCTTTGATTGAAGCTGTTGCAGCAAGAAGGAATGATCTTCCGTAACTTCTGTAGCTTACTGTTGCCGGCTTCAGGTCGAGGTTGAGGTTGAGTTTCAAGCAACAACTTCCTCCGCAAAGCTTCTGTTGCAAACTCATCTAGTATGCTTCCACGTCGTAAGCCAAGTTTTTAAGGTCATCAAGCCAGATCTTCACCGAACGTTTCATGGTCTGTTTCTCCTCTGCATCTTCAAGCACTGCATGATTTCCATCTATTTTCTCCCACTTCTTGAGGTCCGCTTGGATTTGCTCTTCGCAACCAAATTGCACACCAACGCTGAAACCAACTTTTCAATCAGATCTCAACGCTGACAGAAAGAATTGCCTCTCCAATGATAGACATGGTGTCTTGGTGAAACAGAGGAATTTTGGGAAATCATATAGGGAAGTCACTTGAAGTAAAGGAAGAAAATATGAAATCTTCTGTATATCTTCTCTTATATTTGAAATTCATGTAATATGGGTGCTAGGTCGTTTTCCAAGTCAAAATGCCATATTAAATTATTATGGCTTGACTTCACAGGCACCGCCCTTTCTCGGCATTTTCCATTCCGCGTCGTTACTTCCAGGTTTCCATGGTCCACACATCTACCCTGTGTTGAGGCTCATGAAGTAATAGCTGCACCCTTTACGTTTCTACGGTAACGTAACCTTCCCTTACTTTCACAGAAAACAACACCAGCTCCCTTGAAGTTGAAAACTGTCAAGCAAAATTCAATCTTTTCACCTCCACGTGGTCGAGCTTTGCTTATGACTGGCTGCGAGTTATGGAGCACCATGGGCACTGTGAGACTCGTTTCCAACCAATCTACTTCACCATGATACTTTTCCCAACAAAAATGCCCTTACGTCGCTGGTGAGTATATTTCTATTATTATTCATCAATATTTTATTTTATCAACAAAAATGTGTAATACAAATTAATCCTGAAGGGCAAAAGAATAATTGTGTTTTCTCCATCCCATTTCATCCTTGGTAGTGGCAACTGGCAAGGGACTGTCAAAACCTCAGGGGACGTTATGTAACTTAAAATATGTAAGGGAGGTGAAGTTAAAAGCCCCAAAGAAACCAAGGAAAAGTTGTGCCTAATGAAGGGTGCAATTAATTTCATCAGCCTTTACTGATAGTTGGTAGATGTTGACTAATTACAACCCATTCTGATATTGTTCTGCAATATAATGGATAAATGTAAACAAATTTTTTTTTTAAAGTTTTTATAGTTCTATTTGTATTTATTATAAAGAGTAAACAACATTTTCCCACCCAAGGTTTGCCTTAATGACACTTTTCCACCAAAAAAGTTTCAAGATACTACTTTTTCTACACAGAATTTATACCCTTTAATACTCAAAATATACTTCACTTTCTTAATCAGTGTTCAGTAAGTTACCAAAACCAGGATAAAAGGACTTTCTAGAGTGGAAGCTTTGATCGAATGATGGTAACCAACTGAACTTTAGTAGTTAGAATCACCGAAAATTAGCTAAGAACAAAAAACCTCTAGCTTTGCGCCGGTTGTAATTGACGGAAATCAAGTGTAAGAATGAGAGAGGTTTTGTAGGAGGAGACCGAAGGTTCAAATGGTGGTACGGAGAGAATTGTCGCCATTGGAATCGATAGGATTTTGGTTTGGTAGTTACCGGAATATTAACTTTGGTGTGAGAAAGTGGTATTTTGAAACTTTTTGGGTGAGAAATGTCATTAGGCAAACCACAAACCTTGGGTGGGAAAAAGTCGTTTACTCTTGTTATAAATACATAATTTAGACATAAGAAGAGATCAGTCAACTATCAAAACTCAAAGCATAAAATCTTTGAGACATTCTTTTCTAAGCTCATATCATTTGCTTATTTTAGTTATTCAACTTTACATATGCTTCACGAACAGGTGGTGGATTCTGTGCATTGGGTGGGAAGACTGCGGAGAGTTTGAACTGGTGAAGCTAGTAATTCTGTTTTGTTTGTGAAAGTTGATGCAATCTTTTTTTTTTTTTTTTTCTTAATATTAACTTCTTTGCTTATGCTCAAATATAATTGCATATGAAATCGTAAATGCAGTAATTACTTACAGAGAAGTTTCATGTTATAGCTGTATTTTTACCAGTTGGACTCTAACCATCCATTCCTAGCATTTGCCAGAGGAATAGAGAAATCTTTCGGCCAGGATTTGATGACTATTGAGATCGTTAATGCAGCTGAATATGATAATTATTCACAGGCAGTTGAAAAGAAAAGCACGTTGATTTACTTGATTTATTTTAAGGTAGTATGCTGGCGGCTCTTGTAAACATCATATATTAAACTTTTATAGGACATGATAATTTTCTAATAACTATTATATCCAAAAAATAGAGATGGGAATGATCAAACAAAAGAAATATGAAAAATAAAATAAAAACAATTCATGATTATTGCCTTGCATTGATTGAAATCCTCTTCCATCACTTTGAAATACTTTTAATTGAGGAAAAAAAAAACAATTCCAAGCATATAAAAAGGTGTATGGTTTTAAAAACAAACAGTTTTTTAATATTCGGTGATGAGAGGTATTGGGGGGGGCCATACAATACTGCCCTTCATTCTTTTGCTCCTTTCTTCTATCATTGGACATTCTTTAATACGTAGTTCCTTAAGTAAGAGAGGCAGGCCCTTGTCTGGAAAGTTTTTGAGCGTTGACAAGTAAACAAAATCAGAACTTCCGAGGAAGTGAGGTTTTGAAGCATGGAGAAGAGGGTTTCCATATTGAGAAAATTCTCTATATTTAGTCTGGTTACAGAGGTTGGAAGTTTGATTCCTACTTCCTCCGGTGGAAAGGACACCCCGTCATCACATCCTCCAATAATGTCGAGTCTTTTAAGAGAGGTGAGTTTGTTCAATCCCCACTCCAACATTACTCTGCACAAGTTGACGTCTATGATCCTGACTGATGTAAGGTTGGTAGGAAATCCATTTTCAGGGAAGCATACAATGCCTGGACATTTCTCTATTGTCAATGCTTCAAGAGAGTTGTGATAATGCATGCTGTTGGGCAGGGCATTCATTTTCTCACACTTACATACAGCTGTGTCCGTTTCCTGGAAGTCAACCCCCCTTCAGGAAATGAAACAAAACTTGGACAGTTCCATATACCAATCATTCCTCAACATTATTTCAACTATTGCCTCCTCTTTTTCCCTACCAATACCATACACTTTGGCTTCATTAACCAGAGAGGTAGTGCGTAGTCTTTCACTGACTTTTCTTGACCTCCCTCCCATATTCTCTCTCAACTCCAGGTTGTCTTTTTCAGTTACAATATTTTGCATTCTGGTAGTGATCTCCTTTATTTTGGGCTCCATCATGCTATTAAACTTAACAGATCGTAGACTCACACCGGTGCAGCAAGTAAGAATTAATTTTAGTACCTTACTTGTGGTGGCTTGAATTTGAGGTTGAGGTTGCTGCAACAACGTCCGCCCCAAAGCTTCGGTAGCAAACTCATCCAGTATGTCTTCCTCATTATTGGTTTTGGTCTTAGGAATATAAATATTTGTAATACTAGGTTTTAATCTTTTAAACCTAGTATATTAATACAATTTTCTCTTATAATGAGTGATAACAAACAATAGAACAAATTCATTCATTGTAAACGAGAGAGGTGGGACAGTATTGAAATAATATTAACTATGCTGGATATAGCTTGTTAATTGGGTGAACCAGGATAAATCACACGTATCATTTTTTCTCTTTACTGTTTGTGTTTGTGTGCTTTCTATTATTTTGGTTTTGCATATCCTATTTCATTCACAAGGGAAGCCATGCTACCCTTATGGTAGTTTGCGCATATATGGCCTTTCTTGTTTGTTTGTATACAGAATGGGTTGATTCAATAAAAAAATCTCTACTTGTATGGTTAATATATATGTTGACCAAGATATACAAGCAAACAAAATGGTAGTTGAGGATTGCATATTAATTCTGATTGAGTTTGAAATATTGTCGATTTTATTGAGGAGTGGGTGGTGGGTGATAGCTAGGAACCCACTCCAATAACTCAATGGTTTGAGTTAGGTCATGGGTCTTTCATGGGCTTGGGTAGAACTCTTCTTGGAAAACCAGCTTGCCAAGGGAGGGTGTCCAAAGCCTTTATAACCCACATGCTCACCTCTTTCCCTTTCAATGTGGGATCCTAACATTCCACCACGCTTCTGCAATCGACGTCCACGTCTGCCTCTTTACCCCTTGGGTAACTACGCGGATCACCTTTCCCTCGGGCCTCTATGCCCTTTCTTGGGGTAGCAGCCCAGGCCTAAGGTCAGCCTACCACGAGTCAACCTGCCACATAGGCGCAAGACCATGCTTTGATACCAATTGATAGGAACCCACTCCAATAACTCAACAATTTAGGTTGGGCCATAGGTCTTTCATGGGTTTGGGTATAACTCTCCTTGGAAAATCGGCTTGCCAAGGGAGGGCACCCAAGCTTTTATAACCCACATACCCACCATTTTCCCTTTCAATGTGGGATCCTGACAGTGGGTGATAAGGTTTTGCGCTCATTTTCAAAGAATATCCAAAATGTTGAAGCATTAATTAAATTATATATGCAAAAGTAGATTACTATGTTTTAGTGAAGAAGAATGTTAAGAGAAGCAAAGTAGAATCTTAAGAACATTCCATGACCATTCCATAATAGATTATATATGCATTTGAAAAGCTTGTTGGAAAATAAGCTTTTCAAAGCAAATTAAAATAAGCTGATTAATACGACAACATGCCTACGTAGCCATG